CTCTTTCAGAACCTTTCATTTTGGATAATTTAGAGGCTAGTGACTCAGGTGATTTCTCAATATCCAAAGGTTTTCTGTTCAAATGGCATAGATCCTTTAGAGTTACAGGACTTTCTCTTGAGCAAGGCATCTGCTGTTCTAAACAGTCTTCTTCCTTGGAGAATGGAAAATTTCCCGAATAAAGGATGTGACTTATAGGTTGACAACTACTATTTGAATCATTATGTTCCATAGTAGTGATTTTACACATACCAGAGTTGTCTATGTGGTTTTTGTCTCTACATGGAATGTCAGGTTCAACTTGAGGTCTGAGATTGGTAGTGATTTCAAAATTATTATTTTCCTCCACTTCTGTATTCAGAGGATTTTTAACCTTCCCATATTGTCTCTTAAACTTCTCTAAAGATCCTAGTTGTGGATTTAAGCTTAGCTTCTTAGGGGCTATGGGTCTGGATAAACCAATCAACTTATCTTTTCTCTTACTATCATTTGAAACATGCCTACACCAAGAGAAAGAAGATGTGTCCAGTAATAAGCCACCTGTGTGTGATTTTTTACTACCATCCTGCAAAATAGCAAAATTTTTGTAAGTTGGAATAGGTTTGTTCTCTAGCCTAGAACTTATATTTGTTCTGCACAATTTTTTGTTAGACAATTGAGCAAATTCTGTACTTAAAGTGCTGGTTAAATCTTTGATGTTTGGAGTCTCAACTGAATGGCATGTTCTATTTCCAAGTGTTTCTTTGGCACTCACAGGACCAGGTCGAACACAATTTTTAAATAAATGTTCTGTTTCAGTTTGTTCATTTTGTACCACATGAGTTATAAAGCCAGTGGAACACAGTTTAATTTGTCCATAACTAAAAACATTTCTTCCACAATTACTAGGTTCTTTTTTTCTTTTCTCTTCCTCCCCCTGAGCACCATGTACTCTCAGTAATGTTGTCTCAGAAGGCAGAGGTTGGCATCCCATTTCAGTAGCACCTTTAAATGTCTCTAGTTGAATCTGAATTCTGTTCTTTTTCAGGATGTCAGCAGCCATGTCATTAACAGTAGTACTTGCTTTCTGTATTTCTAGATCTCCACTCTCCTCAAAGTGATCTAATGTCTGAAAAGGGCTTGCAGGCATTTCTGAATTGGTTCCACATGGATTTTCTAAAGAGTTAAGTTCCAAGCAATATTTTTTATGTTTCTCATTTTCTCCTGATTCTGACGCTTCAGGTCTTTCTTGTTCTAAGACCCTTGATTCTGAACAAGAGCTGTCTTTGTTTTGTAAAGTTGACTCTGTCATTTTACTATGACCTGGACTATCAGATTCATAAGTATACAAAAATGAATCATTTGTCTGTTTTCTGATCGCTTCTGAATTCCTAGAATTCTGTGTGTTTATGTTTTCTGTAGCTTTTCTTTTTACAGCTTTTGATTGCAAATTAAACATTTCATAGGAATCCAAAATATTATTACATGCTTCTTGGAAACTGACTCTGTCACACTTCTCATCAGAAGACATATGCTTCTGAAAAGTAGCACTAAATAAACTAAAATCATTATCTTCACTTAATTCCTTAATGTCTTCACCTGACAATTCCACAAATAATTTTTCTTTCTTTAAAAACATCTTCATTCCTTCTTGAATGCAAACCAAAACAGTATCCCAGTTCTGAAACTCAATCAGAGTTTTTGCTGGCTCCATGCACACATCATATTCACAGAACTGGCACTGTATATTGATTACATATATCCCATGGAGTTCTGGGTGAGACCGATGCCGAGGACTTGAATTCATTTGCCTACTGGCAGAGCCATTTTTTGGCTTGCATATAATACTTTCTTTCCTTAATAAAAAGTCAATGAGTTTATGCAACTTTGTTCTTAAAACTAGCCTTTTGTTCACAAATAAAAACTGCATATTCTTACTGTAATGGGCTTCAGAGCTGATATAGCCACTAAGTTCAAACTCCTTATATTTAAAATTTATTTCTCTTAACTTTTGGGACTTACTTAGTCCATAAATTTGACAAAATCGGGAACATATGTCTTTGGTTTTAGGGAGTTGAAGAACCATGGAACCAGAAACATCATTTCTCAAGGAGAAAGAAATGGAAGGGTGCATGAGTGAGAGAGCTTCGATCCTCTGCCTAACCTTCCCAAACTCCAGTCTCGGATCCATGCATCGCCTCCTTACAGGTAACTGATAAAATAGGTTATATACTGTTACTGTTGTCCCAGCACTTGGTCTAGTCAAGTCAGCTTCAAAGGCATTCAGGGCTTTTCCATTCTGAAACAGTTTCACAAAAGTTTTCATTGTCCCATTTTTCTTGGATGAAATTTCCATAGCACTGGCCATGTCAGCTATACTGGCCAAGGCCTCCCCTCGGAAACCATAAAACCTTGGGTTCTCCAAGTCCTGTAAGGAGTTGCATTTACTAGTGAAATAACGATTTCCCACTTTGTCTACATCATCGCTCCCTATCCCAAATCCATTGTCTATCACTTGGATTTGGAAGATTTCCATATTCACCCTCACAGCCACACATTTTGCTTCGGCATCAATACTGTTGAGGGCAAGCTCCTCCACACATTGGCCTAAGGAGCATATGGCCAAACCAGAACGCAATTTGGCTTGTACTTCAGCTGACAAGCACTTGATCATGGCAGGTAGAAAACTGGTGAGAATGCCAGGCAACAGTTTCCTTTTGTGACTGTGAATAATGGCCTTTGGAAGAAAAATAAAACAAAAACACACACATATGAAAGCTTCGGGGTTACACAGCATTACCCATTTTTCTGAGGCATTATAAAAAATACCACTTGACGTAAATGAAATTTCTTATTAAACCACGTTGTAAAACAAAACAAAACAAATGACAGCTCTGATCTCTAGGCAGATCACACAGCTCAGGTTTGATGCAATGGACTTAACATCCAAAGCAGCTCTGATAATTTCATAATTTTCACTGACCCCATCTAAATCCCACATGCCCTGAAGTGAAATCATAATCACATTTGAAGTTGACCCATGAAGATAGTGTTCAAAATTCTAATCACTTTACCAAAAACAGATGCCCAAATTCCACTAACATTAGCTAGAAATTATTCACACACAAAACTCCAAGCTAGTTTCATAACATTTATACATTACACAATAACCATGACTTTTAGAAAAAACTCATAACAAAGTACTAAGACACTGTAATAAGAAGGTGAAGGAACAGGATGAAATAAAGATAAATTATTGTATGAAGAAGAAATGGGCATTAAGAGATTATTATTTTTATTATTATTATTATTATTATTATTATTATTATAATAGTTAAGAGGAGGTAACCTCAAGGGAAAGAGACTGGGAATGGGAAAGGTTAAGGCAGTAAAATTCCTTTCCATTATAAGCCTTTCAGAATTATTTTAGTTTACTTTGATAAAAAGTTTTCAGACGTTTATTAATATCCTTTTGTGTTAATACTCTTTTGGTCTTTACAATGGCTACAAACTACCTCGGCAATAACAATGATGTAGGGAGCTGTCTGACCTGGATTTTTAAAATTTCTCCCAGTAAAAAAAAGAAAAATTTAAGATGATGGTGCAATTAAAGGTCCTAGCGCTTCTTCATAGGTAAGAGAGCAGCGTAGTCTAGACCTCTTTCAGGCGGTGGGCTGGATTTTCAAACCCGGGAAAATCCGAGCTATAAGTGCAGATCTGATTATTTCTACGGCAACGCAAAGCTGAGGGGCGGGGCCGCGGCCGCAGGCCCCTCCCCCCAGGCTCGGTTTCCGCCCCGCCGGGCTCTTGACGCCCAACCCTAAACCAGGCCCGCCCCGACGTGCGCGCCGCGGCGAAGGGAGACCGGGGCCTCCTGGCGCCCCTGCGCAGCCGGCTCCGGAAAGCTGGCCCCGAGCGGGCGTCACGACCCTTCTGGTGTTAGACGAGCTCCCGGAATCATCCTTTCGTCGCGCGCTTTCCCCCAAGTCACCTCCAGTCACCTTTACCACCTCGAGATACCAACCGCCTCGGACGCCGGCTGTGCCTCCTCGGCTCGCGAGGCTCGTGCACGCGCGAGCCGGGAGCATGCGCTTCGGAGATTCGCCGAAGTCCCTGTCCTCCGAGACACAGTGCGCACGCGCACGCGCACGCAACGAGTCCCCAGGCCTTTTCACACTGGAATTCCTGAATTCCCAATCCTTATCCCCTTTTAGCGTGGCATGAAAAACTACTTCTAGTAATTTTTACTTTTGTCCTTTGTTTCCTCTTTCCCGTTTCTCCTTTGTACGCACTACCATTTAATTCAATATATTATTTGCTCATTGTCTTCTCTCGCTAGAATGAAAGCCATGTGAAGGTAAGGATTTTGTCTATTTTATTGCTGTATCCCCATGGCCTAGAACAGTGCCTGACTTATGTTAGGCACTCAATGAAAATAAATTCACAGCCTTCCATCTTATCAGATTAAAGCCTTTAAGAGCTGGGAAGACTGAGAAACTAAATTCTCAATTTATTGGGGGGGACACCTAGACTCCAGTGACTTTTTTGGGTATTTTCCTATTACACCACAACTTCTTTTCTAACAGAATAGAGTGGAACTCTAAGAACATGGTGAAAATTGGTGTTATGGGAATAATTAACCAGTTTTTACTTTCATTTCTATTGAAACCTTATATTTTTTAAAAATATGTTTTTATTGGTTTTTTAGGGAGAGAAACATCCATGATGAGAATCACCGATAGGCTGCCCCCTGTAAGCCCCCTATTGGGGATCAAGCCCACAACCGGGCATGTGCCCTGACAGGGAATCAAACCGGTGACCTCATGGGTTGATGCTCAACCACTGAGCCACTCTGGCTGGGTGAAACCTTGTATTTTTAAAATTTGGAATTTGTGACAAATTTGTCAAACTCAATAAGCATTCCACGTGTACCTGCTTAATGGTTGACCAAACCAAGCAGGAGATTTCTAGGGCTTTTGTCCTTTGTATCAGTTTGTCATAATAAACCACCACAGACTGGGTGGCTTAAACTAAATATTTATTTTGTCACAGTTCTGGAGGCTAGAAGTCTGTGATCGAGCTGTGAGACATGGTTGATTTCTTCTGTGGACTCTATCCTTGTCTTGTAGATGGCTGGTTTCTCCCTGTCTTCACATGTCCTTTCCTCTGTGCTATACATGTCTGTGTCCAAATTTCCTCTTATAAGGACATACTAGATTAGGGCCCACTCTCATGACTTCATTTAACTTCATTCAAAGTTACCTCTCAAAAGACCCTATCTCCAAATACAGTCACATTCTGAGGTACTAGCTGTTAAGACTTCAACATATGAATTGGGAGGAGGCACATAATTTAGCCCATACCAACTGCTTTTTGTGAATTCCTTACCCAGAGAAAAGGAATGACAGAAATTCAAGAAAATTAAAAGTAATTATTCCAAAACATCATTTGAGCAGCCAACAAGTTGAACTTGTGGAATTTGTTCTTATTAGGTGTGCAACTTCCTGAAGAAAACTTCATGGAAACCATTCAAAGAAATGATTCAAAGTAACTGCTAACTTTTTCTTTCAGACCTCTTTAAATTACCTCAAAATTATCTTCCCACAGATGTTTACTGAGTAAATATCTCTTATTTTGCCCATAATGAATTTCGCCCTACAGATGGTTCTGATGTGTTTTTATTAGAATTGTGTACAGTTGTAATCATTCCTTCCATCATACATATTATATACAGTAACATTCAGGTATCTAAAAATAAAATAACTTACTGACAAATTCTAATATTACTCAGAATAATTCTATCTCTATTAACAAGAAAAGCAAAACCTCTGAGTTTCTCTTGGAAAATTTGAATTCAGGGCATTATTTTACAATTTGGAAATCTGAGTAATCCAACTTTAAGATGACTTTCTCATTGTTGAAGTTTGCTCTGTCGATGTGCGATTTGGGACTTCCTTTTGTCTCAAGCCATTCCTGCATATGACGCACTTTGGAGATGGGACCTTGCAATTGTCCTTGCACTGTGCCCTGGTCTGTGTTCTGGACCCAGCCTACCAATCCCAGCCTTTTACTCTCAGCCTAAGGGGAAGAAAAAAATAAGAAAGAGAAATCCAGTGAGATTAAACAAAACAAAGTGAGACTACAATCTTTGCCAGAATCTTGGTCTAAAATCAAGCCACTGAAACTAATTTGATATTGTCCAGAACAGTCAAAACAGAACAAGAATCTCATTGCTGATTTTAATATGAAATGTTGGCCACTTCACTTCATTTCCTTCCTCTACCCTATAAAACCAAGCCAGAATTTTTCACTATGTAATACTAATGACTCAAGATAAAATCAGATGCTTTCAAAATTATTCCCTAAGGCTAATTATTGTTAGGATGCTGGGCTGTATGTATCTTATACATTTTCCCTTCTCCTAATCAAGAATCTCTTGGGTATATTAAGTAGAAAAAGCATCAAGTTATCTGATCCTTCTCTTTGTCTTTAATCAGGACCACACCTAAACAAATCCAGATGAGTAAGTGTCTTTTATATCTTTAAAGATCATTAGAGAGTATTTCACAATTTCCTGGGCAACTCATCCCATTGTTCCCCCTGTAGAGAAACTGTCTAACAAACTGTCTTTATGTTGCATCGAAAGCCCACTTTCTATCATCCTCCTAGAGAAGGAAGGGCAACTGGTAATCAGCCTCTGAAAACCAGTTTCATGAGATTACATAACTGTTAGGTTTTGCACTTTACTTTCTTTTCTTCTAAATTGAATAAGTTTATGAAGACCATCTAATCATTGTAGTTGCTCTTTTCTTATCCTTTCTAGTGTTTTTCCTTTAAGTCATTAAACTGTGGAATTGCCGAATATTTAGAAAGGTATAGCAGTGCTTAGAGGTAATTTTATTTTTGTAAAATTTCCAAGTAAGGATATTATAAAAGTTATTGTTAAAGTAATACATCTAAATAGAAGGGATTGGGTTACAAAAGAAAATGGAGTTAACATGATTTTATGCCAGAGTAGTGACCTAGTAAATGTGGGAAATTGCTGGAGTTGGCCAAAGAAAATGTTATGCACAGCAAAACCATGTTTGATGAGGAACTGAAATAGCCAATAAATCATATGTTCAAAGTAAAGATATAATGCATAATGAACAAAATAGATTGCAGTCAAATAAATAGCAATTTAAGGGATACAGAAGAAATTAAGGAATGAAGAAAAATAGGATACCCATAGCATGCTTTAAGTGCAGAACATGGTGACATAAAAACATGTGGAGCCCAGCCAGCATGACTCAGTGGTTGAGTATCGACCCATGAACTAGGAGCTCACACTTCAATTCCTGGTCAGGGCACATGCCCAGGTTGCAGGCTTGATCCCCAATGTAGGGAATGCTGGAGACAGCCAGTCAATGATTCTCTCTCATCATTGATGTTTCTATCTCTCGCCCTCTCCCTTCATGTATGAAATCAATAAAAATATATTTTAAAAAAAACCAAATATGTGGAAAATGGATTTTGAGGAAGACTCCACATCCAACTGACTTTATACTAGTAAAGGTTAGGCCAGCATATAAAAATCAATACACCATATTAATAAATAAAACACCGTATCCTCCTATATAATAAAAGCCTAATATGCTAAGTGTCCGGTCGACCGATCGGCCGTTCAACCAATCAAAGCGTAATATGCTAATGATATACTAAGGCCGCTCAACTGCTTGCTATGATGTGCACTGACCACCACGGGGCAGTCGACCAGCTGCTATAATGTGCACTGACCACCAGGGGGCAGACACTCAGACCAATTTAGCTTACTACTGGGGTCCAGCCCATCGGGACTGGGCGAGATGGGCCAGACACGCCCTGGAGCCCTCCCGTGGTCCCTCCCTGGCCTCAGTCGTGCACCATTGAGGTCCCTCAGCCTGGCCTGCACCCTCTCACAAGCCAGGACCCCTCAGGGGATGTCGGAGAGCTGGCTTTGGCCTGATCCTGCAGGCCAGGCCGAAGGACCACAGTGGTGCACGAATTCATGCACTGGGCCTATAAAAATTAATAAATAAAACAGAAACCAGATGATCATTCATTCATCTTCAATAGATGAAGAAAAAGCATTGATAAAATCTAACATTTTTTGAGATAAAAACACTCAACAAACTAGGAACAGAAGGGAATTCCTTAACCTGATTATAGGTGAAAAACCCACAGCTAATAGACCTAATGGTTAAAGACTGAAAGCTTTTGCCCAATGATCAGGAACAAGACAAGGATGTCTGCTCTTGCCACTTCTATTCAACATTAAACTGGAGGTTCTAGCCAGGGCAGTGGAAAAGAAAGAATGCATTAATAGTGGGAAGAAAGGAGTAAAATTACCTCCACTCACAGATGACATTCCTTGTATGCAGAAAATCCTAAGGAATGTACACATGCGCGCACACACACACACACTAGAACTAATCAAGTTTATAAGGTGGCAGGATACAAGATCACTATACAAAAATCAACTCTATTTCTATATACTGGCAATAATGAAAATGAAATTAAGGAAACAATTCCATTTATAATAACATCAAAATAAAAAAATTATAAATAAATTTAATGAGAGAACTGGAATACATATGGAAAAGTACAAAACATTGTTGAAAGAAATTAAGGAAGGTCTAAATAAATGGATAGACATCCTATGTTTATAGACTGGAAGACAATATTATTAAGATGCTCCCAAAATTGATCTACAAATGCTATGCCATATTTATCAAAATCCCAGCTGCCTTCATAGCAGAAATCGACAAATTGATTCTAAAATTCTCATGGAAACATAAGGGACCCAGAATAGCTAAATATAATCTTTATAAAGAATAAAGTTGAAGGACTCATGGCTCAGTGGATGGAGCGTCAGCCTGCGGACTGAAGGGTCCCGGGTTCGATTCCGGTCGAGGGCATGTGCCTGGGTTGCGGGCACATCCCCAGTGGGAGATGTGCAGGAGGCAGCTGATCGATGTTTCTCTCTCATCGATGTTTCTGGCTCTCTATCTCTCTCCCTTCCTCTCTGTAGAAAATCAATAAAAATATATTAAAAAAAAAAAAAAAGAATGAAGTTGAAGGACTCAAATATCCTGATTTCAAAATTTACAAAGCTACAGTAATCAGTAGATAGTACAGTACTGGCATAAGGATAGACATATAGATCAATGGAATATAACTGGAGTCCAGAAATAAGCCCTTACATTTATGGTCAATTGATTTTTGACAATGGTAACATGACAATTCAGTGGGAGAAATTTTAGTCTTTTTGACAAAAGGTGCTGGGACAACTGATAGTCACGTGTAAAAGCATATAGCTGGACTCCTTACCTCAATGCACATAAAAAATTAACTGAAACTAGCCTGTCCTGCGTGGCTCAGTGGTTGAGCGTGGATCTATAAACCAGGAGGTCATGGTTCAATTCCTGGTCTAGCCTGGACTTAGAGCTCGATCCCCAAGTGGGCGTGCAGGAGGCAGCCGATCAATGTTTCTCTCTCATCATTGATGTTTCTCTCTCTCTATCCCTCTCCCTTCCGCTCTAAAATTAATAAAAATATATTTTAAAAAAATAACTGAAACTGGATCAAAGACCTAAAGGTAAGAGATTAAACTATAAAACTCTTAGAAGAAACTTTTAGAAGAAAACATAAGCATGAACCTTCTTTCATTACCTTAGATTAGGCAAAGAATTATATTCCAACTTAGATATAAAACTAAAGTCACAAGCAACAAAAGAAAAATAAATTAGACTTCATCAATAATAAAAATATTTGGCCCTTGACCGGAATCGAACCTGGGACCTTTCAGTCCGCAGGCCGACGCTCTATCCACTGAGCCAAACCGGTTTCGGCAATATTTGTGCTTCAAAGTTTTCATCAAGAAAGTGGAAAGAAAACCTCAGGAGAAATATTTGCAAATAATTTAAGAGACTAATATCCAGAATATACAAAAATTTTTACAAATCAACAATAAGACAAGTAACTCAGTTAAAAATGGGCAAAGGGCCCTGGCTGGGTAGCTCAGTTGGTTGGAGGGTCATCCTGTACACCAAAAAGTTGCGGGTTCGACCCCAAGTTGAGGTTTATACAAGAGGTAACTGATAGATGTTTCTTTCTCTTTCTCTTTTTCTCTCTCGTTTTCTCTCTCTCTTTCTCTCTCTCTCTCTCTCTCTCTCTCTCTCTCTCTCTCTCTCTCTCCCCCTCCCTCCCTCCCTCCCTTCCTTCTTTCCTTCCTTCCTTCCTCTCTTCCTTCTACCCTCTCTAAAAATCAATGGAAAAAATACCTTTGGGTGAGGATTAACAAAAAACAAACAAAAAAGTGTATTATGTAGTTTCTATATATTTGGAGATTTTTCCAGTTATTTTTCTGTTACTGATTTGTAGTGTAATTCCATTGTGGTCAGAGAACATGCTTTGTATGACTTCAATCCTTTTAAAGTCATTGGTATCTCAAAACAAAACAAAACAAAAAAACCACAATGAGATACCACTTCACACACACTAGGATGGCTCTAATAAAAAAGACAGACAGTATGTTGGCAAAGATTTGGAGAAAGTGAAATTCTCATTGATCATGAGAATACAAAATGTAAAATGATACAGCTGCTTTGGAAAATAGTTTTGCTCTTCCTCACAAAGTTATATATGGAGTTACTATGTGACCCAGCAAGCTACTCCTTAGCATATATACCCAAGGGAATTGAAAACAATGTTTGCATAAAAGTGCATAAATGTTCACAGCATCATTATTCATAACTAGAGGCCCGGTGCACAAAAATTTGTGCACTGGGTGGTGGTGGGGGGGGGTCCCTCAGCCCAGCCTGCGCCCATTCACAGTCCAGGACCCCTTGGGGGATGTCCACCTGTCGACTTAGGCCCACTCCCTAGGGGATCAGGCCTAAGCTTGCAGTCAGACATCCTTCTAGCAGCCAGGGAGCCCTTGGGGATGTCCGACTAAAGGCTTAGGCCCCCAAGGGATCAGGTCTAAACTGTTAGTTGGACATTCTTAGTGCTGCCATGGAGGTGGGAGAGGCTCCTGGCACCACCACTGCACTGGCCAG